AATATTACCCTTTAGAGTTAGGGGCTTCACCAGTATTAAGCACCTCGACAAATCATCCATGTCGTTGGTGATAGGGATGAACCAAGCATAATCCAGGGGAAATGTGATAAGCCCTAGTCATGAATGTCATTCTAGAAGGTGCATATAAGGTAGAATAAAATGAATAACAACTAGAGATATGGCTTACAAGACCTCTTCTCGGCACAAAACTAGAACATTTCCATGCATGTCTAGGACCTCGGGTGAATCTTAGAGAGGGCAACTTTCAAGTGTATCTTGAAGGTCGCCTCAAATTCAAACAAAGGCAGCCACAATCCTATCTTGGTGAGTTATGACTCATAAAAAGGAACCAAGCACCCGTCAAAAGAATTACATATCCTTTTTCTGAATCTACGGGAAGGACCGACCATTCCAATGGATTGCTGACCACAATGTCGGTCGTGTCTATGACCGTTTCATTACTCCAAACAGATGGGGTCTCCACCACTTATGCAGCCACCCAACTATACTTACTTGCATCGGTTAGCTCCACAATGTTACCCCTTTGAGGGATAACTCATCAAATTTAAAATGCTTGCTAGACTTAACCCAGTCTGGTATACCCCTGTGCTCCATGTGTGTCTTAATTTCAGCGTCACTAGGGTCACGATTGTAGGTCACTACTACAGAAAACCCCTCTCACAACGGTTGGAAAAGGGGTACCATCACGCCTTACCAACCATTTTGAGGTAAGGGGTGGTTGTATGTATTAAATAACCAGTGATATATATATATATATATATATATATAGATATATATATATATATATATATATATATATATATATATATATATATATATGTGTGTGTGTGTGTGTGTGTGTGTGTGTGTGTGTGTGTGTGTGTGTGTGTGTGTGTGTGTGTGTGTGTGTGTGTGTGTGTGTGTGTGTGTGTGTGTGTGTGTGTGTGTGTGCGCGCGCGCGCGCGTGTGCGTGTGTGTGTGTGCGCGCGCGTGTGCGTGTGTCATGAGTTCAAAACCTAGTTGTAACAATTTAAAGTGTGAATAAATTTAACATTTCACCAAAATTATATATTCCAACAGTGGTGGTATATATATGAGTTTATTATAAAATATGTGGAGTGGCTGTTTTTTACCCCTCAATAAAAATATACAACCATTCAAATTGATTTAAAAGATAATAATTTTAAAAAATTAAATTATTTTTGAAAAACAACTTAGACGCTCCACTGTTTTTCAAATTGCAACCATCATGTAATTCATATGTGGTTCATTAACATATAATTTGGTTCAATGGCCCAATTTCTTCAAAGCAAAGTTCATTATCTTATAGTTTATTTCGCAAAGCATTAGTTTGTTGACTAATTTTGAGTCATCATCATCCCTATTATCGTCATTATTTTAATTGATGATGATTATTATTATGATGACAGTGATGAAGATGATTCAAAATTTCTTAACAAATTTGGTGTTTTGCAATATAAAATAGAAGAAAATGAAGTTTTGCTTTGAAGAACTCCGGGCATTGAACCAATTTCTATATGTGAAAGAACTAGAGGTGAATTATAAGATGGATGCAATTTGAAAAAACATTGATTCATCTAAGTTATTTTTCAAATAAAACTTAATTTTAAGATTATCATTTTCTAAATCAATTTAAATGAATGCATGCTTAGTGAGGGGTTAGTGAAACAAGCAATCTACATACGATATAATATACTCAACTGGAATTAAAAAAATGAGGCAAACATTGAAAAGATTTGTGGCAAATGAAGAAGAAAAAATGACTACTTGTCTCAGAATAAAATCCACATTGAAAGAAGGATGGAGCTAAAGTGAGAGCGGAAAAGTTGTGTCCATGATCTGGGTCTTTCACAAAAGTATGCCACTTTCACATTAGTTTCGTCCTCATTGTATTTTTTCTCCAGTGTAACACAAACATTTTATTAACCACACCTACAAGTCAAAATGTATATTATCATATTAACCTGATTTGGAAACATAAAATGGTATGAGATTGAGATTGTAATCCTACAAATAACATGATAGCCAGATTTGGGAACATAAACTAACATGACATTAACAACATGTTAACATAAACGAAAACCAAAGTAATGTCTAATACACTTATGTCTCTATTGAAAAGAGATTTTTAGATTTTTAAGAAGAACTAGTGTCATACATAGAACGAATATGATAACTGAGATCCATTTCAATGACAGAGATTTAAGTAGAGATAACCCAAAAAACACGAAAATAATTCCAAATGAAAACCCTAAACCCTAAGCTTTCTGCCAAATGAAAACACAAAAATTGTGCCAATTGAAAGCGTATGAAAAACAAAGAAAAATGGAAGAACATATACATAGAAAAATGGAAGAAAGCGTATAAATAACATGAAAGAAAGCTTATGAAAAAGAAGAAGAATGATAAAGTGTATGAACTTGAGTAACTTTTAGTATGAATAAGCTTATGAGGATGAGTTCTCTGCATGTAGAAGAAAGAGATTTTAGGATCTTATTTTGAGAGTGACAGATATTCTGTGTGAAAGCTTGATAGCTTCGTTTATATATACTAGCGTCCAGACGGACACTCGCGTGCCTGTCTGTCCTCTTTTTTAATGCGCATGAATGAAAATATAAATGATACTTTTTGTTTAAATAAATTCCTTAAAAAATACAATATGTGAAAGTTAATAATAAGAAGTTACATGGAAGTTAATAATAAGAAGTTATTAAGTAAATTACATAATAAAGTAAGTGTTATTTTGATATATTTAGTAAACTAAAAGGACAAACCCTTTTTGTAATGAAAAATATAAATAAAAAAAATGTTGGTGATGGGAATCAAAGCAAATAGCATTTCATATATCACAACGGTTTTTATTAAGGAGCGTAATAAATTTATTTTAATAAAATAATTAAAAAAATTCAGGCGAACGAAAATGAGATATTACTACGATTTTTTAAACAGTCGTTGTAAGATGGTGTTACCAAAGGTGTATTTTATAGTAGTGGGTTCTCCGATAAACATGAATGAAATCCTCAGCGTGCTCTCTCATCAACTTAGCGATCTACATTTCCGAAGGGGGCTTAGGAGCAGTCGTACAATCTTTTTCAGTGTCATCATTTGACAATAGGACATCAAAAGAACCTCTAGAGGAAGCTCTCTCATCATGAGAGTTCATATATATCCTTTCTGAATCATAATCATCATAAATAATATAACTTCATGGTCAATGAAATCATGGACAAGAGGATATGAGTTTGAGTCAAGAGATACTCCTGTTAACACCTACAGAAGAAGCATCACTCTCATAATGGCTAGCTATGCGAATAGGGATATCACTCATCTTGATCAAATAATAGAAAATGTTGAAGGTAAACGTTTGAGGTGAAAAAGGTACCTAGTAAGAAAAAGTTAGTGAAGTAAATATAATAGAGAAAGATAGAAGCTTTAAGCGAAGAGATGCAACTATTCTAGTAACTACTTTCACGAGGAAATAGAGGATGAAACTTGCTAATAAGATACGTTTGTGAAGGAAAACTGACTTGCAAGGATTGCAAAAAAAAAAAAAATTCTTTGCACTTAACAACTCATATATATATATATATATATATATATATATATATATATATATATATATATATATATATATATATATATATATATATATATATATATATATATATATATATATATATATATATATATATATATATATATATATATATATATATATATATATATATATATATATATATATATAGGTGAATGTGAGCAACGAGGATGATCGGCTGCAAAGGGATATAGGTCGGCCAAATGCCCAAATAGGTAAGACCAAAATTAATGTCAATCTACTATGGATGATCCAAGGTATAAAGTGATTTCACGTGAAATGCAAGATACACTTTCTGATCTCCAATTTTTACTACACTCATGTTAAATTTTAAACTGAGTTTAACGTTGAAATGTTAATCTTGTATGTCTGTCACCGTATGAGAGATCAGCACCACTGATTCAAGATGCTTCATCATCAACTTACACTTAATTTCTAATCCCAAGACAAATCAAATCATAATTTCATAAATTCATTGCAAAAATAAAACATCTAAAGATTTCTGTAAAGCTGGACTCAATTTCTTTTTGAGATAGTGAAGAGGATGTGGCATCTCTTCGTAGCGCTAGAATGACATCGTCAAGAACTTTATATGATCAGACATGTATTTTGAACATTTGAAATTAAATATTGCATTGTATTTTTTCATGTCAAAAGTGACTTTAATTAAACTTATGATGTTGGAAACATCGAGAACAAGATAAATGAGAAGGTGGTATTTTAGCATTTGATTTGAATGTTGATTTTAAAAAAAAGTGAAAGAATTTGTGGGTATATATATATTTTTTTTGAAGAGTTATATAGTGGACCAATATATATCAATTTGAAAAGTTATTTTTCGGAATCATCAAACCCCAATTTATATTTATATAAATAAATATTTATTTTTCTACAATTTATTTTATTTTATTAAAATTAAATAAATTTATTATTTGTAATTTCAATTAAAATATCTTTATATAACTAGACTATTATTATCCTATTATATAATTTAACATTTAATGTTTCATAATATTTATGGCGGAGATAAATAATTATCGATTAAAATAGGTTCGGTACAAAATTGAAATTTCAGTGCTATCCAAAAACAGTTCAAAAACAAAAAGAAGCACCAAAAACAGTTCAAAAACAAAAAGAAGCACCAAAAACAAAAAGAAATTTATAATTTGTGGCTGCTGGGATTCGAGCCCAGGTCTCCACGGCCACAACGTGGAATTCTCACCACTAAACTACAGCCACATTTGCTTATAGACTTGCACAAGTATTATATCTCTCCAAAACTGTCTTTATTAAGTTGAAATTATTAATAATACAAGCTTAACTACACATAAATATTTCAACATTAACAAACAAATTTTCTCCTATTTTGCATTTACCAAACATATCAAATAAACTTCCAAACAGAAACAGAGTTAATTGGTGTCCCTTTCCACCCAATTACAAGACATTCTCCATTCATATCAAATGTGCAAGAATTTCCACAAGCAAATCTTTTAGCTATCAATTCAGCTTGATACAAACACATCATACTCAATTTTGTTTCAACCATTCCAAATCTTGTAAAAAATGCTCTCCACACGTCAATTTTCACATTTCTACTCTTTCTTTCAACTCCTTCTTCAGCCACGGTATTCCTTATACCGTAACTAAAATACATCGATTCAAGAATCGTTCTATTTATCTCGTCATCTTTCATACAATCCTCTAAACAATCGAAAAATGCACTAAAGTAGAATAGTGCTTCGATGAAACGGGTCACAAAAGATTTAGAGTTATGGTTAGCTTCAATCTCGGTGACAACCATTACTACAGGGTTTATAGTTCTAATAACTCGCATGATTGTTTCGAGTTGGTCTGATTGATGAATCTTGTTTCGTAATGCATATTGAGAATAAACTGCTATTGTTTCTTCGGAGTCTATCTTGAAATGATCTTCTCTTAGATGTAATAAATCAGATACAACAACTATTTCAAAGGAGAAAGGTACGGTCAAACTTTGCGCAAAATCTTTCAATCTTTTACCAGTTGCCTCAGCTACCTGCTTCGAGGTGTCTGTGTTTCCGCTCGCAATAGCTGTTATCTTTAGAAGCTCGAGAGGACATTCGTTTCTCGATTGAAGGGCTTGCATTAGGATCGTCCATTGTAACCCTTTTCGAATTTCGAAATCAATAACATGAATCTTCTTTGTATCTTTAACATTCTCTACTATAGCTTGTACACATGTGAACATTGCAATTTTACAAAACGGAAGATCTTCGATAAAAGCGAGAAGGGTCGGATTTAGATCCTTGGTCTCCTCTTCAGGATTAAATAAAGACTCCGCCTTTTGCATATTCTTAACGGGAACTCTACCTGTTTCTCTGTCGATTCTTTGGCGAAGAGCTTCGGCAAAATAATGAACCACGCGCTTAACCGGGTTACCTGTCTTCGAAGATAAAGACTCGATTTGCGGTAAGAAAAATCTAGCGCGTTCGAATTGTTGATATCCAACTTTTTCAGCACAAGCCAAGAGTGATTCAGCCAATGAAACATCTTCTTTCTCTTGATCTGATAAACCAGAGAAACTAAAACCAAAAGGGTGATTAAGAATCAAACCTGATGATGAAGATTCCGACGAAGATGATTGTATGAATCTTGTTCCAGCTACCTTCATGATATCCGTAGTTGACAACTTTCTTTCATTTTCGTTGTTCATGACTAAGCCGATATCATTAACCGGATGAAGAACTTTTCCTTCATCCGGTAATAATAACTTCTTGAATCCTTTGCCATAATTCTTCAATATCTCAACAGGTGCTAAAGGAGTTTGGTAGTATTGTTCGTCATTTTTAGTGTCGCAAAGTGGAAGAACTTTTGTTGGACATAGTTGTTCATCGAAGTTAACCATGTCGAATTGTAGGTTATCAAAAGTTTCATAATCTTGAAACTTTTGTTGATCGGTCGAAAGAAGAAACCCGTCTTCATGCAATGGATCGTCTTGAAAGAAACCGAAATTCGAGCACAGAGACTCGGTTCCATTAAAATCTCCTAGATCTTCTGCTACAGGAAATTGAACACTTTTTATTTCATGAAGTTTCTTTGTCTCCCAGAAAATATCATTGGATGAACTAAGTTTGTCTTCAACTGCATTGAAACTGAACTCACCAAATTTGTACAAGTTTTCCATTGCAAATTGAAATAAATATTTCTTTAGTAATATGAGTTTCAAACTAGTTATTTTCTTTAAGCACTTTATTCTCTATCTATATATAAGAAGATTGATATGATTATTATTATTATTAGTCTTTATCATAAGATAATTATTAAGGTATATTTGTGCTTATTTTAATGTGAAATTGACTGGTTCTAACACTAAATCCGTGTAGTGCAGTTAACAAATTAACATTGATGTTGTCACTATAATGATTATTATTGTCCAGAAGGCATAGGCCAGCAAAGATGGCGTAAGTGATGACCGGAAAATTAAGATATTGATGTTGTCACTATAATGATAATTATTGTCCAGAAGGCACAGGCCAGCAAAGATGGCGTAAGTGATGACCGGAAAATCAAGATGATGTGTTTGATATGTCCGGAAAATAAGCATTTTTAAAATTGTTTTTGAAAACTTATGAATGACTGTAAAAACTATTTTTAATATATTAGTTAATTAAAATAACTTAGTTTTCATATAATAAACGGCTTTATCTTATCGTTTATATAATAATTATAAAAACTTTTACTCTAGATACGGTTGAACTACTCCACGAACAAATAACTTCAATTAGACTTCTTAGTGTAGTTTATGCACAAATAACTTTAAATTAGAATTCTTCATAGTGTAGTTCACGCACAATTAGAGTTAAAATTATTCATAACTTCAATCAAAGATGTTCATGATACAATTTAATGAAAAAACTAAACTGAACTGAATCGTTTCAACTTATTCAGAACCAAACCAAACTATAATCTGAACCAAACCAATACCAAACCATTAGTTTGATATACTATTTAAAAACTTCAAACCGTATCGAACCGGTAGAAGACAATTTTTTCTAAACCAAACTATTAAACTATTTTTTAAGTTTTTTTTAAAATATTTAAAAACTTATTTTTAAGATTTATTTCATTTTTTATTTCAGTTTGATTTGATTATAGTTTTAGTTCAACTTCAATTTCTGTATGGTTCTAAAACTGTTTTGTACAATATAATATAGTTCTTAATCAAATATAACAGTTCAGTTAAAACTGCAGTTCGATTTAATTCGACAATTCAATTCAATTCATAGTTTTTTTATCGGTCCTAACTTCAATATCCCTATATCTTTATTCATCCTTTCCCCTCCCTATTCGTTATTTAGAGATGAGATCAAATTCATCGTATGAATATATATCAGCAAAACAATCTGATGAAATTATGACATTTGAGAAAATATATTTTCGCATTATCATTTTTGGAGATTTAAGACCAAGTTATTTCACCATTAAAAAGATAACAAAGCTAGAATAAAAAGTGAAAGTTTAAAAGGAAAGTTTTATCAAATCATCAACCATTCACATTCACAAAGCCATGACGACAAGACCAAAAGAGATAGGAGTAATTAATATCCTCGACATCGAAGAAGCTTCTACGCCATTGACCTTAGTCTCATGACCTTTGTGAAAGGAAATTGCTTCAATGTTCTGGCTGTGACAAAAGGGTTTACCACTTGCTACTTTGAGACACACCAAGAGGTACATTGTAATAAGAAGTGCAACATAACAACATTTATTCCATTTCATAAAGTGAAAAAGCAGTCATATCAAGCTTTCACAGATTGCCCTGCCTTTACCAGATCTTCAAGTGCTTTCAAAATCTGTGGCTCCGTCATGCCTTGCAGTTTAATGCCTTTCTCAACACCAAGATCTAGTATAAAAGATTGAATTATAGGAAGTGAGAGAATACCAAAAATATATAACCAGAGCAAATTAATGCACAAATGAAAAGATTAAGTTACAGCATATAATCAGAAATTCTGCACCAATTTTTGAAGAGTGAGTAAAGTAAATTAACAATATATCCAATTTAGTTTTCTAATTGCATTCAAGGCCACCGGCGATGAGCAAACTAATCTTTAAATTATAATGAGAAACAAAATTAACACTGTGATGAACAACTTCGTGTTGGGTCAAGTTAATTTTCTAGTTGCACTCAAGGTCATCAACGATAAGCAAGTCATTCTTAAATTTCATACAAAAATTGACATTATTTACAACTTCAAGTTTGTTCAAGTTAGCCAACCCATTAAAGATAAGTTCTTCCAACGACGATTTTTCAATTCCAACGACGATTTTTCAATTCATCGATACTTGAAGGAAATGAAACTGCTTGCCACTCAAGCAAACTAGGACAAAAGTCAAAATTTGGATAATATTAAAAATCAGTTTTGCATAGATTAGTGATAAGGGTTGAAACCTATGAAGCACACACCCTTCTAGGATTAAGCGTGTCACGGTGTCCGACATGTGTCAGAAAAATCAAACAAGTGTCCCTAAAAAATGTTTTTTTTCATTGCTTCAACAGTCTTTGATTGATGTATGACATCCGTATGACACTCATACTATACGTGTCAGACAAATCAGACAGAGAAGTGTATAAAAAAATTGTTTTTTATTTGCTTCAACACACTTTACATATTTTTTGAACAAACTTCACACTCATTTAGTTAATCATGTATTTAAACAATGTTATCAATGAATAATTACACAGATGAATTTTGATTAAGATACTTTTAACTCTTGTAGTATTAGATAGATAAATGAAGCTCAAATACTATGATATATGTAGCGGTGTTGGTGTCTTATGTTTTTGGCATTATAGGTGTTGGAGTGTCTGTGTTGAAATTCGTGCTTCATAGGTTAAAACACCAAAGGAGTTTTAAGACTGTAGGAGGTCTAGGATTCGATCATTGCTACTAACAAATATACCTCCCCCTAACAAATTAAATACTAACAATTTTCCGGTTAAAGAAAAAAAAAAGAACTACCATATTCTCATAAGTAACTTAATGGACTTCGAATTTAAAATGACTTTAGGGGAACAATGCTGGTTAGTATAACATTCATGTAAATTTCCTAAAAAATCATGTTAGGGAACTAAGAAGGTAAAGACTTGGGAAGATAGTATGGAATGTGAATGCAGATTATGGGATGGGAAATTCAAATAAATAGAATGAGATTTAAGATGCATGATACCATATCTTGCCCATAATTGGGGTTCGACTCCACTGCATTCACGAATCAATATGGGCAACTTTGGGTTCAATGTCTTTAGTTCCTTATAATTCTTTTCAACAAATTCCCTGGGATAACAAAAAACTAATGAGCACACATTAAAGATTATACTATCTATGACATTCGATTTAATTAAGAAGCAACAAAAGATATTTAAAAATAATGCTGCAAAGTTTTAGGTCCATAGAAAAGAAACAATATACCTTGCAGATGCGCTTGCAGGTGATGACTGGCACATCAAAAGTCGAAGCTCTTTTATGTTCTTTGAAAGATTTCCTCTCCATGCCATTTCTTTCCTCGCTCAAATACATAAAATTTGTGAGACTTTTTCTCATCTTAAGGTGTTAGGAACCCGAATTCAAGATATATGAACTAATGGATAAAACATAGAATATAGAGAAATAATGGAAAATATATTGTATGATATTTCTGAAATGAAAGATACAATCAGTGGAATAACATTCACACTGCCCATAGCTATGCTCCTATGGAGAGTAAACTCTGCCCCTCAACTAACTCAACAATCATTCTTTTTCTCCCCCTCCTTCGGTAAGATCTTAAGCGCCGTGCTATGATCCTAGTTTTATCATCTTTTACAGGCCGTCAAATCCTACTTAAGATCCCGTGCTTAACTACCTTGCCCTCCACTATTCTCCCTTCCACCCTATATAACAAATTCCCTTATCCTCTCAGTGAGATTGATCATTGCTAGAGTTTCAGTGAGATTGAAGAGGGACTACAATTGCAAACATGTCGAGACTTAACTGTACTTTGCTTGCCCCGTAATTTCACTACCGAAATTCAAATACCCCTCTGTACATTCATCTTAATGACTTTTCCAATTCAAAAAGAGTTTTCTCTGGTATGCTATTTAAACAAGTGTCATCAAATAGCTGATTTAGCATAGCAGAATTTGAATAAATCACTATTACGTGATATACACTTATTTAGTACGAAGTGTTATCAAAGAGTGACTATAGGGTCAGCCGTTTTTGAGGGTCTGCAAGATGGACTACAGCACAGGAGTTCAAATTTTATACGGTTAAATTATAGCTAAATAGGGTCTCGTGATAGATTGCTCATGGTTAAATGCAAAACTAAATAGAACCTTTAGTTGATTTTTCATGAACTATAACTAATCTACACGAGGCCTCCAAAAACATAAGACGACCCTAGTGACTATATGGCGGCGCTCTAGCACGTAGCGCAATCTGAACAAACCACAATTTTCCGTGATCCGCACTTGACAATCCTGATACCAACTTAATGTCATTCAACTAATGGACAAATTTGATTAAAATTTTACAATTTCAGGATCATTATAATAATGTGACGGTTAAATTGATACAACCCTAAAATTTCAAATTTCAAAGACCGATTTGGGTATATACATACAATTTTGGGTATTTACATTTTAAATTTCGAAGGGGAAAATGCAATTGAATAAAGATTCTCCTATATCCGAAAAATCAATCGAATTATAAGAGAAATAATGAGAATATTTGCGAAGAGTGATGATAACAAAAAAAATGTTGAGAACAGAAATAACAAAAATACCAGCAAGATACGATCTTGTTAGACGGTGAAGACTGATGAGGGAACTCGGAAGATCTTCCGGCGGAACAACCAGCTGCGGTGCGGAAGGAACAAATGAGATATGGAAAACGCTAATTTTCTCCTTCACTGCTGTGCTTAAGTTTTGTTTGGTTTTTTTGGAGAATCAATTTACATATATTACAAAAATAATCTAAATATAATTTAAAGATGAATTTTTAGAGTTTTAGGTAAAAACAAATTAAAATATTTTATTTGATTATCATAATAAAAATGATTTTAGAAATTGATATTTCGAACAAGTTATTAAAACAACTTCTCATTTTAAATAATTTTAAAAGTTTTAGAGATTAATTTTTGGAAAATCTAGATGAAATTTTTAAAATTGATTATTTTATTTATAATAAATAAATTTTTCACAAATAAAGTGGTAACAAATGACTTAAAAAATTATATTTTACTTCTTCACAAATGTAAGCATGAAACACATACCGGAACTCTCATTATACAATATATATTTTTCAAAAATTGTATATAAACCTTGAAATTTCTTTTCTACTGAAGCAAACGTACGCATCATATCCATTCTAGAAGTTATCTTTTGGATTGTGTGATTTAGAGTCTACCAACATGATACACTGAATGATTTTCCCTTTAAAATCTATTTCAGTATCTTGTAACATGTCAAACTCTGCAAATGTTCTTGATATTTGTCTAATTATTTGTGGTCTCTGAACTTGTTCAGAATCTTCTTCAGATGTTATAACCAGAGTCGTTTAAAACTTTTGAGAGGCCTTGTGTAAGAAGTTGAAGTTAACTTCAGTTGATTCGTTTTTAAGAGGCCCTTTTTAATCGTAAATTAATTGTGGAATGTGTGTATGACGGCCCTTTTTACCATAGTTTAATTGTGAAAAAATGTGAGACCCTGTGCTGTAGGCCGCCTTGCACACCCTCAAAGACGGCTCCGACTATAACAATATTAGATGTTGGACTACCTTCATAGGATGTACCAACTTCAGAGGCATGATTACTATCAGAGTCTGGATCATCATCAGAATCTGGATCAATTACAGACTCATCTTCAGAGTCAGACTCGTCTTTAGACTCATCTTTGACATTATAGTCACCTTCAGACTCTGACTCATCTACAGAGGAAGATTCTTCTTCAGACTCGTCTTTAGAAGAAGATTCTTTTTCAGAGTCCTAAATATCTTCAAAAGTTAACTCAAGTATCAACATGACACCAGAGTTGAGTTGAGACTTGTTCCAATCCCATGCTTCTGTTTCCTTTACAATAGCATCTGTGTTGAATTCAACTTTGTTAGTGACAAGACAATAGAGCTTTTAAGCACATGTACTATGGTATTCTACAAGTAACATGACTTTGCTTTTGTCATCCAACTTCCTTCTCTTAGCATATGGGACATGTTTGTAACAAACATAACCAAACACCTACAGATGTCTCACACTTTACTTATCTCTAATCCACTTCTCTAAAGGAACAATTTCTTTCAGGTTCTTAGTTGGACACCTATTAAGCACATATGTTACAGTGGAATAGCTTCTCCCCACAAGGTGTGATGAAACTTTTTCTCCTTCAGCATGCTCCTTCTCATATCAAACAAAGTTTTGTTTCTTCTTTCAGCAGGACCATTATGCTGAGGAGCGTATGGAGCAGTAACCTCATGCTCAATTCCATTCTCCTCACAGAACCTTCTGAACTCTATAGAGTTGTATTTCAGCCATCACCTTCAGCTTCTAACCACTTTGTTTTTCAGCCATCACCTTGAACTTCTAAAACTCAGCAAATAGTTCATGCTTAAACTTGATGAGTGCTACCCGTGTCATTCTAATGAACTCATCCTTAAAAGACACAAAATACTTGTTTCCTCCAAGTGAAGGTCTTTCAAATGGTCCACATACATCAGAATGCATTACTCCTAAAGCATGTTTTGCTCTTAGAGCCACTTCTGATGCAAATGGAAATCAAGGTTGCTTGTCTTTCATGCATATCTCACATGACTTCTCAAACTTCACAATCTTAGGAATGCTATATACTAGCTTCTTAGAACTCAGAGGCCCTTAGCTTTTGAAGTTCAGATTCCCCAATCTCTTTTGCCACAGCTCACTGTCACCTTTAACACCTCCTGCACTAAGGCATTTAGTTTCAGTTGTTTCCACATTCACCTTGAATGTTTTGTTGTTTCCCTGTTCATACTGCATAATCAGCTTCTAATCGGAATCATGTAACTTCAAGAGATTGTCATTCATAGTAATTGAGAAACCTTTCTCAATTAGCTGACCTACACTCATCATATCGCTCTTCATGCTAGGAACATACCAGACATCCTTGATCAGAACAGTCTTGTCATTCTTCACTATGACCTTGACATTTTCCATTCCTTCAGTATTCAGATACTTATCATCAGCATATCTGATATTTGTCCTATTTCTAGAGTCAAAGTTAATCATTCATTGTTTGTTTCTAGTTAGGTGATTTGAGTCGCCAATGTACATATACCACCAGTCTACCTAATATGCACCATCAGATTCAGAAGTCATAAACAACACAGGTTCATCATCAGACTCACCTCTGGCTATGTTTTTTTCTCTAATATCCTTTATTTGTTTGACCAATAGTCAGCAACAAAGTGACTAAACTTATTACAATAGTAGCATTGAACCTTCTTCTTGTTAAACTTCTTATTTCCCTTATGATGTTTCTTCTCATCAGAGTTTAAGGATTCTGACTTCTAATAACCACCCCCATGTCTCTTTTTGGTCTCTGACCAAGAATGCTTCTGATTCTTCCTACTAGAAAACGTATTTGGAGCCTAATCTACCTCTCTTCCAGAGGTCCTCTCAGTCAGACACAACTCCTGCGCATCTAGACTACTCTGCAACTTTTCAATTCTCATGGTGCTAAGGTCCTTAGAGTGTTCAATTTCTACAACAATGTAATCAAACTGAGGAGTGAGTGATTTAAACTTTTTCCATAATTACTTGTTCAAAGAGAGTCTCTCCACAAGATTTCATCCCATTTATGATCAGAATCACTCTGGAGATGTAATCAGGTACCTTCTCATTGTTCTTCGTGTTGAAATTATCATACTGCTTACGTAGAGACTGAAGCTTCAACTTCTTCACTAATACATCATCATCGTAGCATCATACCAGTGTGTCCCATGCAACCTTCGTCGTCATTGAATCAACGATCTTCTCAAACACATTTGTATCCATATACTAATGGATACAAAACAACACTTTTTATCCTTCTTCCTCGTTTCTATATGTGTGTTTCTTTGTGCTTCAGGTGCATCTGCTGCAACCGTTGCGTAGCTCTCATTGACGAGACCAAGAAGATTTTGAGCACCAAGTAACACATACATCTAAATCATCCATCGATTCCAATTCTTTCATCAAAGACTAGAAGCTTTGCATTCAAGCTACCATTTCCGCCTTTCATCTTCAATCTTGTGCAAATTCACTCAAATCACACAAACACTCATGTTTCTCAATCCCTCAGAATAAAAAAATGTGATTTTGTTTCGATTTCAAACTTTAATTCACTATGAATTTCATAACCGAAATCAACCACACACGTCTCACATACAATCGTGTTTCCTGATTTGAATATGAACCAAATATCTAGATATCAATTGTTGGTGCACAAGGTTGATGATGAAGAAGATGAAGATGGAAGAGAGAGAGAGAGAGAGAGAGAGAGAGAGAGAG